CTCGTCGTTCGTTCACTTGCGGAAATTTACACTTCGACCCTCTCTGTTTCTGACTGTATGCTTACAAGGTTTCTTAGGAAAATGGCGGTGCTCTTCAGTTGACAATTTTAACTATTTTCGACTCTTCACTTGACAATTGTAACAACTTTCAACTCTTCAGTCGGAAATTTTTATCTACGGATTTTTCTAAAAATACTGATTTTTGCTTCGTGGATAAATTTAGAAAGGGGAGGGATTATTGGATACTTGATAGTTTGGAACGTGGGAATTTAGAAACTTGAGGGTTCGGAAATTTAGAAGATTAGAAGTCTCGAAGTATTTGGAAGTTTAAGGTTTTCTAAAATTTTTCTGAATTGTAATTTAAGTTTGTTACGTTCTGGGGTGTTTGAAGAGTAAAAAATTATGAAGCTTCCATTTTGTAAATTCGGACATGTAGATTGGAATTTTTACAATTTCAGTATTTCGTAAATTCGGACACGTAGGTTTGAATATTTACAATTTCAGTATTTTGTAAATTCGGGCACGTAGATTCAAATATTTACAATTTCAATATTTTGTAAACTAAATTTGAAGTTTCCCATGGTGCACTACGAAATCTCCGTTGCACCCAAATAACGTTCCTAAACTTCTGACCGTCCTCAATCTCCACGATTTTCTTCCTACTACCGCCTACCGAGATATTCCTCTCTGTTTTTCATATTTCCCCTCTTCGTCTCATGTTCCCGCGTCTAAGTTTTCCCGCCTCCGTCGAATTCGAGTCTTTTACATTGAGCTTCGAAAAGTAGGTAGGGTGAAAGGAATTCTCTGCCATCTCCGTTTCCAACCCGCGCTCTTCTCTCGTCTTTATGTCTCTCGTCGTCGCTCTTTCTTGTTGCCTCGAGTCGACCGTGCACTCGTGCGCGCGCGCGCTCGGGTCGTTATACCGAACCGTGCTCGCATGTAACTCGGAACTCGTATCTCGTATCTGGTACCGTGTACCCGGCCTTAGTCGGTCAGCTTTGCCTCCAGATGAAACAGGTTCGGCGTTTATGGTCGTAACTTTGGAATACCGATGGAATTTTACTACCTTCTTATCCATTATTTTATTTTTTTACGCGTTTTCCATTTTCTGTGACGCATGTTTATTTTTTAAGTCGAGACGAGGTGGATCTAGTTTGTTTTACTTTATTCGTGTAGTGTTACGTACTCATTTCTCAACTGTACACAATTTCTTGTTTTAGTAATTTTAAAATTTACAAGTTTTGAATTTTTAGCTTTTGTATGAAGTTTATATGTTCATTTTGGTAATTTGTTAATTATCAGGTTAACAAGTGTAGAATGTATATATTCAAATTTATAAATTAGCAAGCTTGTACATTTATGGTGATTCAAGTTTGTAAATTATCAAATGTCTACTTTTGTAATTTTTTATATCTGCAAATTTATAAATGTGTACATTTATAATTCTTTACATTTGAAAATTATTAAATGTCTGCATTTATAATTTTTCACTTCTGCATATTATTATATGTCTACATTTATAATTCTTCACATCTGAAAATCATTAAATGTCTACATTTATAATTTTTCATATATGAAAATCATTAAATGTCTACATCTATAATTCTTCACATCAGCAAATCATTAAATGCCTACATTTATAATTCTTCACATCAGCAAATTATTAAGTGTCTACATTTATACTTTTTCATATCTGAAATTGTTTAAACATGTACATGTATAAATTCAAATTATGAATTATCTTCTAATCTGTCCAATTCAGAAGTTTGTCAGATTAAAAACATTTAACTTCAACATTTCAATATTTTCAACTTGAAAAATTGTTTAATTTTCAAACTTAAATATATGAAAGTTTGACTCTGACTTTAAGGATACTTCGCATAGAGTACACAGTTGCCCATGAGCACTTCGGCGGGCACTTTTGCCCATAGTCCGGACCTACGCAAAGCAACATTGTCCGCCCGAAAACGATAAAACGATCGCGCTATTTCGGTATTTTATTCGGGGTTTCAAACGTTACGTTAAGAATCACGCTTCGCGCGTTGGTAGAAAATTTCTTGGCTACGAATTTATAAATATATCTTTCTGACTCACCGCGTGAAAATAAGTTGTAAATTGCTCAAGAGACTTGGCCACCGAAACGCGACTCTGATACGCGCGATACTAAGTTTCCAATTGGAATTTGAAACTGGATCATTATTACGTGTATTCGGTTTTACGTTGTTTACCCTGTGTATCTCTTTATCGTTGAACGGTAAACATTCATTGTAGTAGCGAACCCTTTACTCAGAGTCGAGATATCGATTTTGATCACTATCTTTCTATCTTAAGTTTAAGATGTTGAAGTTTAAGATATTCTATAGTTACATAAACAACTTCTATTTCCCATCAGTGAAGAAACATTTAATATATTCTTACAAATGTAGTACAAATTGAGAAACAAGTACATACACGTGTAAATATTAAAAGACGATTAGAGAAAAGAAATAAACAAATGTCTCCTTGAATAAAGTGGATACACACTGCGCATGCGCAGTGCGCGCGCATGCGCCTCTATTCAAGAAAACATTCTTTTACTTTTCTCGACGAATGCTTCAGCAGCATTTGAAGCCATTAGAATCAGACTTAATGTTTACCTCGAGAAGTTTGAAATGGCCATTATCCGTTCATTATTTAATTTACAATGATCATTAGCGGGTCTCTGTCGATTGGCGCCCTCGAACGCGCATCTCGGTCTCGTTTTCCATCCTTCGATAAATGTAACTAACGAAGAACAAATACGTTTCGTAAGCTGAATCGTGTTCGCGATCATCATCTTCTTCTCGAAGCATTTGATCCGTGTCATGGATCGTAGCTAGGTGATTACGACATCGATGATGTCATGGACGCTGCACCTATACCGCTACCAACATCGATCCACCATCATTGTATCCTACGCTTAGACAGATTTTTATTCTCCTAACGATTTTATGTTCGCTGGCTTCGGGTTTCATTTTCCCCTTCTTTCTTCTCTTCCCAAAATATTTCTCGATAAATCGTTTCGGAATATTTACGATTACTTTTAATTTAAAAATGGACCTCGGATTCCTACGTTCTTTTATTATATCTTGGTATTTCTTGGAAACTGAAAATATTAAGGAAACGTAAAGTTTTTACTGAGATATTAAAACGTTGAGTTGTTTCAAGGTTATTGTACCTTTTTTCTATGTAAAGTTTAGTCTATGAATGACCTGTAAATTAGCCTTGAGTTGACCTTGAATAATAAATGGGACACAATTAATATAAGAATGTCTAAATAAATAGAAGATTCACCTAATTGTATGCATTTGTTAAAATGAGGTCTTAATCGGTTTATGATACCATTGACTTATTTTAGATATTGTTATTGACTCACCCAGTATTGTACTGTCAGACCTTCGGTGTAATCTGACCTTTTAAGTATGAACCGAAACTTTATCGTTTATGACTCATTTGCGATGAAAAATGATGAATTTTTAATTATGCTAAAGCAAGCTTAGCACAGTGATGCATAAGCATATAAATTGAGCGAACATGTTTAAAATCTTACTTGAATTAATTTTTGTATTTTACGGAATGCAAAAAAATATTAAAACATAGTCAATGATTTTCTGTAAGATGACCTACTTTTTATGTAACGACGTTTTAATTGCAAAATAATTAAACCTATTTTTAAAGAATTGATAAGAAGAAACTAAATAATGTCCGTACGTGATGCCACCGGTTGTTGAATTTACAAAAAATTAAACATCCACGTATGTGCCAGCGTCCTTGAGAAGATTAAACATGGTATTCTTGCACAATGAAAACATGTTGCAAGGTTCTCTTGTTAGCAGAATTTAAAGAAAAGTACAGTGTTGCAAACCTTTTGAATCCTATGAACAATCCAAATGCGATGAATAAATTTCTCAGGAAAAGAGGAAGGTAGAGAGAAACTAACGATATATAACGCGTCTGATGTCATCCGTAATGAGCAACGTTACTAAAAGTAGACGCGATGCTCTGTTCTTATTGCTCACGCCTTGTGTAGAGGGAGGAGATCACCTGGCTTCCATTTTGGATATTAAATGGGTAGGATGTTGGAATTTTAAGGTTGTCACATTTTTAGGTTGTTGAATTGTGCAGGTTTTTATGTTTATGGAGATGTTAGATTCTGGAGTTCTCAAGTTAGTAAATTCTCACTTTTCCAAATTTCTATTTCCCCAAATTTCCACGCTCCCAAATTCTCAATTTCCCAAATTTCTACTTTCCCAAATTCCCACGCCTCCAAATTCTCAATTTCCCAAATTTCTACTTTCCCGAATTCCCACGCCCCCAAATTCTCAATTTCCCAAATTTCTACTTTCCCAATTTCCCACTCCCCTAAATTCTCAATTTCCTGAATTTCCACTTCCCTAAATTCCCACTCCCCCAAATTCTCAATTTCCCGAATTTCCACTTCCCCAAATTCCCACGCCTCCAAATTCTCAATTTCCCAAATTTCTACTTTCCCGAATTCCCACTCCCCCAAATTCTCAATTTCCCGAATTCCCACTCCCCAAATTCTCAACTCCCTAAATTCCAATTTCCCAAATTTCTATTGCCCTAAATTCCCACTTCCCCAAATACCCAATTTTCCACTTCCCCAAATTCTCAACTCCCTAAATTTCTATTGCCCCAAATTCCCACTTCCCCAATTACCCAATTCCCCAAATTCCTAATTCCCACTTCCCAAACTTCCAAGCCTCATCTTTCACACAAGAAAATTTACGTTTGATAAAAATTCAAAAATCCCCAAAATTGTTAAATCAATAAATGTAAGTCAATGAGTGATCCACTTCTCTCTACATCGCCACATCGCCACATCGCCTAGGGAAAATTAGGAACGACCGTTTTCGTTCATTATTATAGACACTTATCCTATTTGCGTACATTGATTATGAAAAATGAATGACTTATAATTTTTCACGTTTATCTAAATATGTTCTTTTTCTATGTTTCAGAAATCGCGAAAGTGCGGGCGAGTCTTTTTCAAATCAGCGGCGTCAAAAAAGAACCGCTGATTTTACCGGAACCAGAGGGAAAAATCATAACGTTGACAGAGAAAGTTTATGTGCCCGTTAAGGAACATCCCGACGTAAGTTTTAACTATTTATTTATTTTTTTATATTTTTAATTAATATTTTTAAATAATTTACGCGGTAATTAAAGTACAATGAGAGTTACTTAAAAATTGTACTGTACAAAGAGAGTATATTTTTCTACATATAAATATAATGTATAAATTGTAAATGTATAAAGCAGAAATAATCTAATATTTTCTGTATTTGAAACAATATAAATTTGATGAATGGATTTAATTGAAAAGAAGATTCGTAAAATAATACTTATTCTGTTATGTATACATGTGTCTCTCAATTAAAGTTTATTTGTATAAGATAAAATGAAGTTATGAATAAATAGTTAGTATCTTTTTTGATGTGCATATATCAGCAATAGTACATCTGTTGAAATTGTTAATAATAAGAATGGAGGAGGAATGTATTTGTGTACAATAGAAGAAGGAAGATTTATATGGCATAAAATCGAAGTCAGACGTGACGAGAAGATGAATATAAGAGAGAAGTAATGGCAGTGAGACTTGAATGCAGGAAAAATGTTATTTTCATGAATGAGTCGAAGCGTAATTTTCATGCGAAAAAGTAGTCATGATTCAGAGAAAACCTGATCAGATGCATACCAAAGTTTTCCACAAGCAAAAGAACAATGACAAATGTAATTTTATTAGAATTTTTAAGAAATGTAGTATTTATCGATAGTGAAATGAACAGATAAAAATATTTAAATATATTAAAGAGTAATATTGATTATTTTTTTAAATATATTAAAAAATAATTACAGTAGTCATTTCGAGTAATTCGAAGTTTCACAGTCAGAAACGAGGATACACCATACATAGCTCAAAACTGGTTGTTACATAATTTTCCGAATGGAAAATAAATACCAGATATTAATCTTATTAAACGTGTTGGGTGTGAAATAGAAAAGGTTTTACGTAATATTTGCAATAAGAAAGGTTTAAGAAAGGCATTTCAAGAGGGCTGGTTAAACTTTATGCAAATTTAATTGAACCTGTTGCATGACTTTCGCAAGATAATAAATTCTGTTACGGTTTAAAGTAACATACTTTATTGTCAGAAGCATATTTTCACTGCATGTTCTCATGATTTCTGTATTAATTTTACAATTTATTAAGTAGAACAAAATGGAGAATAAAATGATAGAATTTTAACATTTATGGTAGAATAAAATGTAATACAAATAGTGGTAGAATAAACGTAATATTGTAGGAGTATGTTACAAGAAAGTATACTCTTTCTGAATAATGGTATCTAATAGATACGTGAACAAATATGTTACGTGCCATCCATGTTTGTTTTAAACACTTGTAACTTTAAAATAGGCAACGTAATGTGAACTTAGCTTCTGTTTATTTTACTTATATTAAACAAAGATAATGATAATGAGTGTTTACTTACGTGATAATCGAGTGTGTTTACATTTTATTGGGGCTGCTAAGTGTAGTTAACATGTCAATTTAACTTCTGTTTATTTCATTTATTCAATTATAATATGTGTGTATTACTTGAGAGACACTGTATGTTACATATGTTTATTTTGTTTATTCAATTATAATATGTGTACATATCTTGAGGGACACTGTATGTTACATATGTTTATTTCATTTATTCAATTATAATATGTGTACATAATTTGAGGGACACTGTATATTACAGAGGTTTATTTCATTTATTTTATTATAATATGTGTACATAATTTGAGGAACACTGTATGTTACATATGTTTATTTCATTTAGTCAATTATAACATGTGTACATATCTTAAGAGACACTGTATATTACAGACAAGTTCACAATTATTAACTTCATTTTATATTACACATTTAGAATATTTCATACATATATGTTTCTTATTCTGTACTGTTTTAAGTAACACTCATATGTATAGTGAAAGAGCAAACTATACTTTTTGCACTAAATTGCTCTTTTGGCACTGTACCAATCATAGATATACACAGTGTTCATAAAGATTCATAAGAGCATATTGTGTATTGCGGTATTTAAAGATCTTTATATACATCCCATAACTTGATCTACATTTTATAATAAAAATAATTGTTCATTTCATTCTATTATATTAACAAATTTATTTTCTTGTTTCATCTTATTGCACCACACGAATAAATTAACTTTCATGTTCCATCTTATTGTATCTATAAATTCATTCTTATTTTATTCTATCACAAGAACAAATTGACTTACGTGTTTGATCTTCTACTGTATCTATAAATTCACTCTTATGTCTTATTTTATTCTACCACAAGAATAAATTAACTTTTGTGTTTGATCTTATACTACTGTATCAATAAATTAACTCTCCTGTTTCATCTCATTCTACCACCCGAATAAATTAACTTTCATGTTTTATTTTATTCCACCACCTGAATAAATTAGCTTTCATGTTTTATTTTATTGTACCACCCAAATAAATTAATTTTTATGTTTCACCTTATTCTACCACCCAAATAAATTAACTTTTATGTTTCACCTTATTCTATTGTATCAATAAATTTATTTTAATATTCCTTTCTTCCCTCCCACATCTCTAAATCAATTTCCATATTCTTCTTTTTATACGAAATATAAAATACATATACATTATACAAAATATATATACATTATACAAAATACATATACATTACACAAAATATGTGTACATTATAAAAAATACATATACATTATACAAAACATATGTACATTATAAAAAATACATATACGTTATACAAAATGTATGTACATTATACAAAATACATATACATTATACAAAATAAAAAATGATAAAATAAACCTGACGACCAGCTACATTTACGATCCCAGAGACTGATGTTTCGAAACATTTATGTTGCAGTTTAATTTCGTCGGAAGAATTCTCGGTCCACGCGGAATGACGGCCAAACAGCTCGAACAAGAAACTGGATGCAAAATAATGGTCAGGGGGAAAGGTTCTATGAGGGACAAAAAGAAGGTAAATTATTTTCCTTGATTAATTATTTTTCGTTCGTTTTGTCCCCTCCGCGATTTTCTTTACATATCGAATAACATTTGAGACGTTTTATTTTGCGTCGCGCCATGCCATATCTCGACGATGACCGCGAATTCCGTCACAAAAGATCTTGTTTTAGTAGCATTTACCACGTTTCATCTTCTCCTTTGTTTTCATATTTATTATCGCGTTCTAATATGTTGTTAATTATTTACGTGAATATCGTTGTCATTCTCATTATTATTACTGTTATTATTATTAATACCATTTACAAAACATCGAACGATAACGCACATTTATTCGCCAAGTAACGTATTCCTGTTTTCAAGCTGCGTTCGGCGAACGAGAGAAAATCTTATCGTAAGTACGAGTATAAAAATAAATTGTTGCTTGCCTCCGAAATTTCTTTTATGACGGCAGCCATCTCTCGAAATAATTTTACATCGCTTGGACGTTTCGTAACTTTCGTAGGAAAAAATTTGTCACATGTGTTAAGGATGTGCCACAGACTAATGGTTACGAATGAAAGTTTTAGTAGTCGACATAAATTATAATTACCTACTGAAATATTTATAATTGTCTACATACTTAGAATTTTTTTAAATTCTATAAAATATGATAACTAAACGTAAAAGTATTATTAATACAATTTATACATCACCTGACATAAACAATAGAATAATTATTTACACATACCTAAAACACCTATGTACATAATTCAGCCCATAATTAAGAAATGACACTGTTGGTTTATGATAATTGAAACATGTACAATTTTTCCATTCAAGCCTTTTACGAAACGAATTAATAAGTGCTTTCAAAAATAAATATACATTCACCAGAAATTACATGTATTAAACGGTCGATAAGTCAAATGAATATAAAGACACAGTAAGCGAAATATCACGGTATGGTTCATTTATATAGCAAATGGATGTCCAGGCATTAAGTGTAATTGCTGAGACATTAAGTATAATTACAAGAGAGTATATCGTTAATGTCAACGTTCGCATAATTGCAACGCGTAACGCGTTCATTTCGTAAGATCGCGTTACGAGCTTTAAATAGAGAATCCAGACTCATTTTCATGATTCCACAGGAGGAGCAAAATCGGGGGAAACCAAACTGGGAACATCTGACGGATGAACTGCACGTTTTGCTAACGGTTGAAGATACCGAAAATCGTGCCACTTTGAAGCTTGCCAGAGCCGTCGAAGAAGTGAAGAAGCTTCTCGTTCCCGTGGTGAGAGAGTTCCAGTTACATTGAAGATTTCAATCTATTTTGAGAGATACTTACACCGGTAATTTATCGATATAAAATTGATGAAGCTGATTATTTGCAGGCGGATGGAGAGGACGAACTGAAAAAACGACAGCTAATGGAACTCGCTATCATAAACGGTACCTACCGGGATTCCAACACTAAAGTTGCTGCGGCTTCGGGTACGCATCTGAACCTCACATTATGCGTAGGATTTTGAGAATTTGGAGATTTGCCCATTAGAAATTTCAGAACTTAAATTACTCTGAGTAATTTACTGTAGAGAACAGCCATGTCATTTAGCATTAATGGTCACTGTTAAATCAAGCCTCCCATCACATTATGTACTTAATTTATGGATTTATAATTTTACTTAACTATTATTGTTAAATGCTCACTTTTAAATTGAAAATCAAGTAGAAAAATATAAAATAGATACTGAAGCATCAGCTCACCATTTTGTATCTCAATAAAGTATGACAGACATTTGCACAAAAGCACAGCAACAAAATTTTGTAACATATATTGTAAAACCTAGAACCAGTTATTTTGACTGGTTCTAGTGTTAAATAATCATGTTGGATGCCATTTTAATGGGGCAACTTGTTAGACTGCATGTTTGGCATGCCTGGTTTAGGAGATAGTTGAGTGACGTTACTTAACCCTTTCAGACCTGATTTATTCCACAATATCACCTTAGATTACTCATAGCAAGAATTGCAAGTAGATTGATACAAATGAATTTTTAAATAGAAACACTCATACTTGTAATATACTATCATTCCTTAACTTTGCAAATTCATTAACATCTGCAATGTATCACAGTTTTAGCAATGTATTTATAAGTTTTAGCGTGTATTTTCAAATCCGAAACAAAGTAAATGTCTATTACAACAAATAGTGCTCAGTATTTAAAGGAGTTAATTTGTCTAAATTATTTATTAACGTATTAATTTAATATTAATTGTGTTTTAGCTTGCGACGAAGAATGGAGACGCGTAGCCGCGGCTGCGGCGGAAACGCAGCGGCTTCTTCCGGGCTTGGCAACACCGATGAGGACACCCAGCGCCCCTCTCGGGGCACCATTAATACTCTCGCCCCGGATATCTGTCCCGACGACCGCCGCGTCCTTGCTGAACGGTTCGGGTCCCCCGGGATCCCTTCTTTCCGCCGGTGATCCTCACGGATTAATTTACACGCCGTACGCCGATTACGCCAACTACGCCGCCCTGGCAGCCTCGCCTCTTCTCACGGAATACACCACTGCTGATCATTCTGGTGGGTTGTTTGCTCGCTGATCTTCGTCGCGAGATCCTTCTTTCTCTCTTTCTTTCTCTCTTTCGTTCGTTTTTCTTTTTCTTCTTCCGCTACTCCCGCGTTTCCTCCTACTTGTCGTTTGATCTCGACGCGTTTTGGTTGAAACTCGACGCGGTGCAGTGGAAAAGCGAGGGAATAAGGGAGAAAGAAAACGAATCGAGTAAAACGAACGAAAAGTAAGACGTAATAATATTATTCGCCTATTCCACGGTACTCGAATCGCCACGGAATATTTCTTCTCGTACTTCATTCTTTCGAGTTTGATACGTTGTTGAAATCTTACACGTTATGTGTACAGTTCAGTTTTTGAGGAATTAGATATTTTAAACTTGTATCAACTTCTTATTTTTAAGAAGTCCATATATTTTTCTGTAAAATACATTTTAATCAACCCTTCATTGCACGGATTTTATCAAGTTTACAAAAGGGTATACTTGTGAACTCTCTAGAGATTATAATAAAAGTAAGAATGATCTTGATACATTAATGACGAAATATGCAGTTATTGAAATAAATAAATTGGAAGGATATTTTATGTATTTATTACATATCGCAAAAGAATGCAATGAAGGTTTAACGAGAAGAATATTCCGCGTTAAAAGAAGCGTACGCGTACGTAAATTTGTACGTACGTATGTACTTACCTTTTTTTATTTACGCTATGGCAGTAATATCATTTCGTTATGGTCGCGCTTGTAAGTAATTATTACCGTTATTTCTATTGATATTATTATTATGATTATTATCATAAGCGTTATGCAATAATTATTATTATCATTACCATCATCGTCGTCAACATTGTCGTCGTCATCATCATCTATTATTCAACGATATTAATAGTATTACCATTGCTGTTATTATTACAATTATAATTATTATTAGTACTAGTGTTAGTACCAATAGCATTAGAATATTCGTTATCCTTGTCGTTTACATCGTTATCGTCATTTAGTCTATCATTAGCAACGTTACAGGCATAATAATGGTCGAAAGGGAACCGATAGTCGTTTCGTTATTTATTAAGAGTCGTTAAGAAGGTTTAGGGAGGTCGAAAGGTTCGGTAGGTAGGAGTATTAACTCTTAATTACTATAGATGCCCTTTTGAGGTTTGAATATTTCCTCATTCAGTAATTTGGAAATTGCAGATTTTTATATTGGGGTACACACTTGGGGGTTCAGAAATTTATGAATAGAAGCAGTTGTAAATTTAGAAAAAGAACTTGGAAGATTCGGAAGCTTGTAAATGTAAAATTTGTAAATTTTATGTAACATATATTTGTATGTAAATTTTATAGAGATTGAATTGTCACTAACGACCTAGATTGTCTATAGTAATTAAGAGTTAAGTAAACGGTATTATTAATTTAATCACGGTATCGAACATTTTACGCTACGAGGATCAGTCGTTCACTAGTCGCATCGATTCCGGTAATCGTTTGATAACGGATGCGTTCGATATCGCTCGCATTTTTCGAACAACGGATCATAAGAAATAACGAAATTCGAGAAACAAAAGGAGAATCACACGGACAACGAAGATCCGTGCAGTTCCGATTGCGCGGGAAAATGTCACGTTTGAAATAGATTTAGAAGAGAAGAAGAAAAACGAGCATAATCGGTACTCACCGAAGAGCGTCACGTTAAATGATATTATTTATTATAGGTATTTGTTTACAGAGTTTATCGCGATATATACTTTGAATATATTTGATTCCATTTTCTTTTTATTTGAGATTTTCTTTAGTACCGTTGTTACGCGTATTTAAATTTTATTAGTCGTTTTATAACCCTCAAGATTTTAACACGCGCGGTATTTTAACGACCGCGATAAACGTAAATTATTGAGCCAAGTAATGCAAACGTTGTATATACATTATCGCGTATACATATTACATACGCGTTATCGATAAGAAAGGGAGACGAACCTCTCGTTGATCAACGAAAAAAATACTCGGTTATCGTACCATGAATCTTACACTTATACATTCGTTACCATTTACTATGCATAGTAAAGATCATTAATGTGTTCAGTGATTATGGTACGTTTGAAAAATGAAATATCACCTGTAGTTCCAATTATTTTTAATACGTTAACCTTCTCGTTTCCTTGTTTCTTGTTATTCAGGGATTATCATATTAATCACAATTTTATTCGTATGTGTTACAAGGTACACTTTTTTTTACCACTGACATTTGTAACAAATTAAATTTGTGATGTGAAAAGTTTTTAAAATATTGTCAATGTATATATTATCACATTGTTATAATTCAAACCTTACCTAAAATATGTACATATGTATGGTTTCATTTTTCAAATGTATCATATTCACGTAGTCCTTATATTTCGCTTCCGTCGTATAAAAGGACAAAAAAGCGAACGTGTATAACCGTAACTCTATGTCCGATATTTTCTGGTGCATTGCCATATAGATACGTACATACATATATGATATGTACATATACATATAATCAAACGATCAAATATTATATTATTTATTCGTATACTTTTTAATTTATATATATACGTAAGTGCATAGAAAAATTATCCAATTTCTCGCGATAGTTGAAATGAATATAAAAGGCGATTAAAAATGACGCGAAAACATCACGTAGTTGACCGTCCATTGGGCATAATATAAAATACCTTGCTATTTATTCAATTTGTACGTCGTATAAACGAATAAAAGGAAACGCGTGCTCGTTTAATTCTCGTTGAAGTTCAGTGTACAAAAACAGAGATTAGTATAAGTTAGTCGTGATTTTGATTTTTGCTTCTCGTCAACGATTTAACGATTACGCGGTTAAAGTGCGTACACCGTTTGTTCCAGTGAAATAGAAGCATTTATAAAATAGCGCCGATTTAGTAACAATATGGTGCAATATATTTATTGTTATTACATTTTCGTTTAACATTTCAATAGAACTTGATAGGTATAATTTTGTTGACGCGATGATATGTAGATGTGCGATGCGATATATGATACTGTGCCATTGACGTAACTGGGATATTTGACTAGGGGCCCTAGATTCTTTTTGTTAGATTGTGTTAGGGGTGATCAATGGAAGTATGGGAGTTTGGAGATTTGGGATTTTGGGGTTTGGGGGTTTGGGGGTTTGAGGGTTTGGGGGGTTGGAAATTTGGGGATTTGCAAATTGGAAAATTGGGAAATTGGGAAATTTGGGAATTGGGACACTTGGGAATTGGGAAATTTGGGAATTGGGAAATTTGGGAATTGGGAAACTTGGGAATTGGGAAATTTGGGAATTGGAACACTTGGGAATTGGGAAACTTGGGAATTGGGAAACTTAGGAATTGGGAAACTTGGGAATTGGGAAATTTAGGAATTGGGACACTTGGGAATTGGGAAATTTGGGAATTGGAACACTTGGAAATTGGGAAATTGGGAAATTGGAAAATTAGTAAATTTGAAAACTTGGAAATTCAGAAATTTAGAAATTTGAAAACTTACAAAATTTAAGAGTCAATCCCTGCCTTGACGAAGTCCTCCCTAGGACCCCACCTAGTTACAAAAGTGGTCACAATTGTAATTCTTTACTCGTATCGTATCATCACTCACTCTTTTTCGTGAAACCATCGACTTCGAGTCAGTTTTCCCAAAGACTTAGAACCATGTTAGTCGATTAACAATGGCGCAAATGTTTATCAAACAAATTGTATTTACGCGTACCACGTACATATATTTGCATACGCAATAGTTTTATTCGAGATTCATCGTAATCGTTAAATCGCGTATCATTCGTAATCGCGTTCGAACGTACTTACAAAAGAAAGAAAGAAAGAAGGGCGGTAGAAAATGTTTCTGACAATTCAACCGAACGCGATTGCATGAATTTGAGGACTATAATTGTTTAATTCTGTTTGAAGTTTAACAGAAGTTTGTCGAGCCGCGCTACCATGTTCTTGTTACTTGATAGAAATATTAATTCTTCGTTGCATTATTTTAACTTGGTTAAAAAGTATTCTTTTCAATAATGGTAATAAGAAGGAAATAATAATGAACATGTATTGTACTTTTATAGTGCAAAATTATTTAGAGAGAAATTGCACATTGCTAATTTGTAACATTGTATAAAATTTTTATTAAAAATGACAAACGACGTTGTCGATAATTTCGATTGCAGTAAAATCTGTAAGAGATTTTCAATTTTAATATAATTTATTTCACTGTTCGATATAATAATTTAACATTCCTATTATTAAATGCAAATCAATAAATATTCTGTAAAGCTAGCCAAAGATTTTTAGAAGATTGTCTAACATTTCTTTTTCTTATTTCTTTGAGTGGAATACTAGAGTCCATTAAGACCCCCTCTGAGTACATCACTGAATGCAACGAAGGATTAAAATTCTGTCTAGAAAGTGAATCTGATATTATTTCTTTCATTACCGTCCACCTTTTATTTTTCTTACAACGTACTATCGCTTAAATCGCCAGTTAGGGGATATTTATACTCGATGCGAATATGTTTTATACGATCCGTAGTTGATCAAGATGATTTCGATTTCGATTTCATTTACGAATTATATCAAATCGGCAGATTGAAAATCTGTCTAAAGGGCAGAGAAAAGAAACGCTACCTCATCGATATAATTACCTAAAAGAAAAAGTAGCTATATACTATATTTCTATTTTATTATTTTTCAAATTATTATTATTATATTATATTATATATATATTATATGATATTATATTATATTATTTTATATCTGCATTTTATTCGTAATTGTACATATTTTATTTTTTATGTTTTTTGATAATTTATTAAAATAGAGCGCAACGTTTGTTTTCCAGTATTACGTATCAAATAACGATCTGATCGTTGATAATATAAAATCATCGCGCGTTCGCTAAAGTTTTCAACGTTTCTTTTTTTTTTTACGCGCGTCGGAAAATGACGTACAACCACACGCGTATATTCGAAGTAAAATAATTATGAAATATTTGCCTAATTATGTTATCGTTATAATCATTACTCGTTATAGTTAGCGTAATTTTAAGGGTGAATTTATATTAATTACGTGGAAGAATCGTTCAGAATACCGGAACGTGTTCCGAAGTTCGGCGATAAGGAGATTATTTGCAATTGTAATATTTTCAATGACGAATAAACGAATATTGTTCGTTTCGAGCGGCATAATATGATGTAAATCAAGACACGAAATCGATGGCCAAGAGATAATAGGAAAAACAGGGACCAAATACGATACCGTTTTTTCAGGACTGACTATCATTATAACGTTATGATACGTTTATAATTATTCTTAAATATACGCGTGTATTCGTCGTTTCGAGTATGTACTTTGTTCCATAACATAATCTTTTCAAGGTCACTACATCCACTTGTAAATCAATGTAAAACAATGTAGTCCACATTAACTTATTAGCCTGTATTTTCTTCAATTTATTTTAATATTTTACTTTTCTATAATTTCACTGATTACACATGTATACTCTATTTTTCTTGTATACTGAGATGTTACAATTCTTTTTATTTGTTACTGATATTAAGTTTCTGTTTTTAATTCTGAAACAATTCTGACCTTGAAGAGGTTCAACGAACAGAGTTTGAACGTACTTTTGTAAACGTGTTCGACATTCGATCGCATAAAATGCTATACCTCTAGTAAGTTGACTCTGCGTTGTAATTGTCAACTCACCAGACGTCCCTTGAAACGTTATTTTGTTCTGTCAAAAAATCAAATATTGTAAATGTTCTTCACAAATATTCTTTATATTGTCATTGTCAAATAATGTCCACAAATGGTTGTCAGTGTATCGACGAAGCTGTACAAAATAACGATTTGTAGGGGAATTGTTATGACGTCGATCGAAAGTTGAAAGTCGAGAATAGTCAATGATATCGCATAGAATGTATGGTAGATGGGCAGATCTAGTGCAAGGGCACTGGTGAACGTAGTACAGGATTATGAGGTTATGAGACTTAAGAGATTTCAAATTATCAAGTTTGAGGACTTAGGAGTACATTTGGAAACTTTGGAAATTTACGGGTTTGGAAATTTAGGGACTCAAATGGTTGCAAATTTGGAAAATTATAAAATTAGAAATGTAGACATTCGGAAGCATAAAAATTCAGGAATATTGTAAATTTAGATTCAGCAGAATTTCAGAATTTGGTCATTGAACATTTAGTAATTGGTGAGTTGGAAAATGTAATAAGCGAGTACTCAAGTTAGTAGAAAATGAGGAAAAACTTCAGAATAGTTGAATTTAAAAATGTAGAACCATCAGTGCCCACGAGAGCACGTGCCCATCACTACAGCGAAGGATCGTGTAAATTATTGTACATCAGAAATCGGTGATATCGTGAATATTTGCATGAACCAGGAGTATAAGTGAACGTTATCTTCTTAGTCATAAGCGCAACCGATATTCCGTTAATTTCGTCTCTTAAAAAGAATTTCAATCTTCATCGACTTCACTGTGTATATTCTATTTATTGTACTTCGTAGATTAAGATCAGGTTTACATAATTCATACACAGTGAATCGTTAAAAACGTTCAAATTTAGCCACGCGTCCAAATTATATTATATTACATTATATTATACTATATTATATTATGTTATCTCATGTTATATTATACAATTAAAGAACGATTTGAAAATATAATCTGCGAACGTTGAAAAGCATCAACGTGCAAAAGTAAGTAAGATCGCGAAAAGAATTAAAGATGTTCCAACGGTTACACGAGCGTTCTCCTTTCAGGTAAAAAGATTTACCTCGTTTAGTTTCACGGTTTTTCGCTCGCAAACTGATAAACGGGACGACAAAATGGCGCGTGGAGGAAGAAAATGGCGCGTTGCAAATATATCAGTTTGCGTTTCGACCTTACTCGATAAGTTTAATTGATAATATTATTTTTTCTAGCGGCAGTCGAGCGAGCTGCCGAGGAGAGGAGTAAAATAATATATTACTGGAAGCAGATGAATTATACACGTTTGTATGTTGGGGACAGGTGCAGCGGCCGCTGCGAAACAACGTAGACACTTGGGTCAGATTCGCGAGCACCCTTATCAAAGGGCTGGTGCTTTATCGTGAATCCGGAGACCGATATCGCGATACTGTTCGCGCCTCCGCGAAAAGGTTAGTTTTTTTAATACCGTCTCATTATTTTATGCGTAGCATCAGGATCGATTATATACTTCTTTCTTCCTATTCTTTTTCTATCTTTTTTTATTTTTCTACTCTTTTCTTTTCCTTTAATTGTCACGCGCGGGTTCGCGTTATTTTTGTACGGTGTCACGAGAAATTGGGGGATGAGAGGAACATTTTTGTAGATGATGTGTTGTAAATATGTGAGAATTATGAGACAATTATTAAGTATAATATTATATATTTTTATTGTATGAAAGACAAGTACATTATGGTAGTGTATATGTATGCACATACATGTACTTTGCAAATCTAGCTACTAGTAAAATACTATTTTTTTTTTTAAAAATACATTAAATACATTAAAGTTCACATTACGTAGTCATTCTCTAAAAATCATACACCTTGATACAATTGCAATAAATTGAAAAATACAAGGTCATTTATTATTTAACAGTTGCCTATTTGCTTCAATATTTTTTACCTACATGTTCTATATGTTCTATTTTGACAACAGATTATGAACTATATAAATTTACCAAATAACATGATCCACCATGATAAGAACAAGTAATGAAATTAAGAAAATTAGAAGAACCACAAATAATTAAAAAATACAGTAAAGAAGATCCTGTACAAAATAAAAATCAAAACTAACAAAAAGGTAAATAAGAGAACATGTGAGAGGATTAAAAATAAAAAATTATATGTCAGTAGAAGAAATGTTAGTAAAGCAATGATCATTATAATAAAAAATAAAATAGAAAACATTTATACACAAAAATTTACAATATTTTATGTACAAAAATGTTTCCTCCAAACTGCTACCCAATTTTAAGTGACATCGTACATCCACGTGATTTCCCTTCTCAAAAATTCTAGGACTTCACCTAGACTCCGATCTCTCTTTTTTTATACCGTTCAAAGGACGAATCCGCGAACGAAGAACGGGCATTAAGCACGTATACGATGTATGTTTCACTATTTCCATAAAAGACAGATTTCGATCAATGTAACGGATGATCCGTTACGAAAGTACGATCATACGCGTACAAATTCGAAATTTCTACGATCTCGTGAATTTTGTAAACTCGATCGTAAAAGTTCTTTTGCTCTTCTCGTTTACCTATCCATTATAAATATTGTTTAGAATCGACTCCCCGCAATTAGGTAAGATTTCAAATGTTCTTTTGGCAACGTTACGAGTAGAAGAAACAACGCGAGTTGAACGGTGGTACGGGTGCGCACCTACCCATCTTTTTTTCTCTTTCTTTCTACGCAATCTTTTCGATTTTTATACAGACACTTCTTAGTACGGTCGAATGTCGTTATCGATACGTTTTTATTGTTAAGAGGTTCGAAGTCTCGTGATGTAGGTACAGTGATGGGCAACTGATAGGGCACTGTGCAAGTTTGTTAAAATGGAAACTTTCAAATTTTCTAATTATCAGATTTCAAGATTTGTTAATTTGGGAATTGGGATATTTGGGAATTGGGATATTTGGGAATTGGGATATTTGGGAATTGGGATATTTGGGAATTGGGATATTTGGGAATTGGGATATTTGGGAATTGGGATATTTGGGAATTGGGATATTTGGGAATTGGGATATTTGGGAATTGGGATATTTGGGAATTGGGATATTTGGGAATTGGGATATTTGGGAATTGGGATATTTGGGAATTGGGATATTTGGGAATTGGGATATTTGGGAATTGGGATATTTGGGAATTGGGATATTTGGGAATTGGGATATTTGGGAATTGGGATATTTGGGAATTGGGATATTTGGGAATTGGGATATTTGGGAATTGGGATATTTGGGAATTGGGATATTTGGGAATTGGGATATTTGGGAATTGGGATATTTGGGAATTGGGATATTTGGGAATTGGGATATTTGGGAATTGGGAAATTTGGGAATTGGGAAATTTGGGAATTGGGAAATTTGGAATTGGGAAATGTAGGAATTGGGGAATGTGGGAATTGGGGGATGTGAAAATTGGGGAATATGGGAATTGGAGAATGTGGAAATTAGGAAATTTGGAAATTTGAGACCTTAGGAATTTGGAAATTTAGGAATTGGGGGATGTGAAAATTGGGGAATGTGGAATTTGGGGAACGTGGAATTTGGGAACGTGGAATTTGAGGAACGTGGAATTTGGGAATGTGGAAATTGGGAAATGTGGGAATTGGAGAATGTGAAATGTGGGAATTGGGGGATGTGGGAATTGGGGAATGTGGAAATTGGGGTATGTGGGAATTGAGGAATTTTGGAATTGGGAGATGTGGGAATTGGGGAGAGTGGAAATTGGGGAATGTGGGAATTGGGAAATTGGAAATTTGGAAATTGGCAAATTTCTACCCGTGAAAATTTCCAAGTTGCCAAATTCCAAAATTTGTTAATTTAGATTCGAGAATTGCCAAATTTGGAAATTTGGAGCTTTCCGAGTTCCCAAATTGACAAAGTTCCAAATTATCAAATTTGAATATTTGAAAATTTGAAAATAAGAAAACTTGAAATCCTTAAAATTAAGAAACGTAAGCTATCGCACCGTGCCCTCGACTGCCCGCAACCTCCTCACCGGGCTCAAACCTGCCCATCACTGAGCTAGGATACTCATAAGATAAACGAAGACTAAAGGAAAAGAATGTGAACGATACTTACGGTCGTGTACCGTAATGCGATCCAATTCGTTCTGACCCGATATTTACGCGCGCGCATACCAATGACATGCACACACACATACATACATACATACACGCATATACATGCGCGTACGTAAGTGTTAAAAAATAAAAAAAAGAAAGAACGATCAGTTTAGAATTGAGACATTTTTTTTGGCAGCTTGTGCCTGTGGAACGCTTATCGATTTTCCATTTAGCCAACCTTTTTATACGTGTATACATTGCGAGCGTGCGTTGTACACATGTTTCAAATAAAAATTGATACAAAGTACAGAAAAAGCAGTTTTTTTATTTCATACAACGATAACAGGGGTGGTGCTATGATATATGATGCGAAGGCTCGTTAAAACGTGTACGGATTTTTTTTTCTTACTGGTAAAAGTTCCGCGAGAATCGACTTTTTCTTTTGTTTGTTCCACGCAATTCCAGGATTTATCATTCACGAAAATTTAGAACCGTACAAAATTTTCATTTCTTTTTTCCAAGTACTTTTAGAAAATAATCCTAATTTTTATAATCGATTAAAATATTCTTTTTCCATGCATCGCAAAGTATCTTTTCTCGGTAATTGTACTTATTTTTTTTTTTTTAGTGAATTTAAAAAGGTTTAATCCTAAAATTGCATCCTATCCTTTTTATGTACCGTCACTAACAATTACTACGCATATAAGATCTATAACGTGGCACCTATATTATAAAATTTCATTCGTTACACGAATCGTATAACTATACATATTATTTATAAAAAAACTAACAAAAATGCTCCACATGGCCAAGTTGACGCTAACTCGATGTTTCGTATGCATACGTATAAGTATACGTCTACGTACTCGTATACGTATGTATAAAAATATTATTTTATTCGTATAATAACATGGTACGCCCGTAAACGTAACGATAATCACAAAAATAAATATGTTACATATATTTTGTCGTAAATATCGTCAAACCGATTTTTCATTTGTTTTGTCGCGTATTTCTGTACATACAGGGTGTACCACGTGACTGTCGCCATGATTCTTTAGCCACATCCGGTAATCTGAGACAAAAATGTTACGAGGTTTAAATGTTAATCAGTTTCAAGGGATATATTGTGATATCTTAACAAATTTTGTATGCAAAGGAGAGTTTAAACTTATTATATATTTTTAAGATCTTTAAATTACTAAATTTCTATAGTTTTACATTTTTAAATTATTACATTACTGAAGTACATTAATGAATTTCTATATTCCTAAGTTTTCAAATTAACAGACTGTAATTTCTAAATTTCTAAATATCTGTATTAGCAAATTCTTTAATTGTTTCATCCTCAGATGACCTTAGAATACACTTCTAACTTCTACATTAACAAACAACCAAATCCTTTTCAAGTTTAAATAATATTTCTGATGTGTTTGTAAATTCATAAAGTTGCTTGATAATTTCCAAAAGTTCAAATTATCATCAGATTTCCAAATAAAAAAATTAGTTAAAAATATACATTATAGAATTACATAATCCTTGACTATTAAAAAAAATCTTGTAAACCCTGTGTCACAATCTATAACAGGAACTGATTAACTTCGACTCCCACCACTTTTGCAACATATTACCAGAAGTACACCCTGTATATATTTTCTCGGAGCGATCGCATTAACACTGTGTTCACGTAATCCGTATAGTCGTTAACACCGTTTAACAAAGTAGGTACGCTTATCTAAAAGTTTGTATAATAGACCTGTATCTTATTAATACGGCACACTCGCAATTCATTGGCCCGTTAACCGACTGCTTGCTGACAGGATATTAATCGTTATAATTAATACGGTTCGTGGTCGCATCTACTCGTATACATATATCTTGAACGTCGTACGCGCGTCACAAAACGTTTACGCGGTGGCAGGTGCACACCCAAAACCTGCCCACATACTACTTTCTAAAAAAAAAATTTCGTTCGAAACAACATTGTCTTCGTTACGCTCTTTTAAAACGGTACCGCGACCGCGCCATTTCAAATTTTCAAACTTTCTTCTCGAGTTATCCTAAGCGCGGGGAGGGTACTCGCGAAGATTTATTCAATTAGCGTTCACGGTTACGTTTGTTCGTTCGCGTCACACAAGATGAGCTATCATGTCGGTTGTACTCGGTACAACCTTAACGCTATTGTAGAGATACTCATTTGCTGAATGTCTACTAATAATCGTGCTATATTGCCAGAGTTACAACAAGGTGATGTCACACGTGATGTGTATAATATTGATTAAATATGAAGTCAGACGACAATGATGATAGAAAAATTATTTCAACAAATTCAAACAATGTATTCAGTCTAATATAATGTAGTATATGTACCTTTGTTACTTATGATCATTTTTTATGAATATATTTATGGATTATAATTGTGCAGTATATTAGTGTGCATACATTACATGAGCTAACATATGAGTATCGAAGATATCTATGTATACTCATTGTCTTAGAAATATGCACATATATTTTGTACATATATATATGCACATATATTTTGTACATATATATATGTTCATGTGTATATGAACATATGTATATGAACATATGTATATGAACATATGTATATGAATATATGTATATGAACATATGTATATGAACATATGTACATGAACATATGTGTATGTTCATGTTTTTATTCAATATACAGTGTGCAACTAATCCTATGAATATATAAAAACAACTGAATAAATAAACAAGATATATTTTATCTTGATTTATATTATATTAAATCATACATTGCTTGAATTTAGTAAAATGCATACATTTAATCAGTGATCAGGTTCTTCCTATTAAAGACAAGACTACTGCATTTTCTAAACGTAATTAAATATTATACACATGTAATTATCAAGTAGTATAAAGATCTAGCGTTAGTGTATTTTGATGTGACATCACGTTGTTGCTACAGTTGGTATCATAACTCATCTTGTGACGCGAGAGTAACCGTAACGCGTCAACGAGGAGAAGCGGCAATTTCGAAAAGTTGACAATTAACCGTACGGCGTACGCGATCAACCGAGCTTCGCGTTCCTTTTCTGTCAGGTTTTCGAAAGAATTGTGCTTTTCAACGCTAACGTCGATCGACGGAGAGCGCGAAGCAATTGCTCGACGCTTTGTATTCTAATTCGAATTTCGCGCGAAACGCTTTGAACGACGCGGATGAAAATGAATCTCGTCGTAAAGGGAGACGAGATTTTCTAACGAAAGGCAAATGCTTCTCGCTAACCATTATCTCTTTTTAACTTTGTTAAAACTGTTCGAATACTTAACGGTAACACGAATCGATCATAATTAAATAACTAACAAACTGTTTTTCTTTTCTTTCTTTTTAACATTGGTTGACCATGGCCTATAGGCTTGGAGTGCTAACAATGGAATCCACCCGCCCCGTGCTAACACCTGGACTCTGGAACACAACATCCGCGTGTTTGATCTACGATCTTCGATCTTCGATCTACGATCTGCGATCGGTTCGCCAACCAGTAACCAGACGAGACAGACCACCTTCGCCACGTTCGCATCACCAGCCCTGTTCGTCAACGCGTTTATATATCCATCCTGTATCCTCTTGGTCATTTTATACCGTATCGTGTGTACAGTAGCGAGCACCGTAGGCTTCCCTAGGGAAAATATTTGGGGGAACGAAGACTCACCGATTTACTTTTCCCTGGTAAATTTTCGAATTTGCAAACTTTCGTATTTGGTTAGGACTTTTCAAATTTGGAAATTTGACGATTTCGAGATTTAGAAATACTTGTTTTTAAGGGACTTGAGATTAAGGGTTTAAGGATTTGGGGACTCAGGAGTTTGGAAATTTGAGAATTAACAGCTGGAAATTTGGATCTTTGAAAATTGAATGTTTAAGGTTTTGGGAATTTAGGAATTTGGGGAAATTGAAGAATCTCGGGAATCTAGTAAATTTAGGAACCTAGGAACATTGGGATCCAGGAAACCTAGAACTCTAGGAACATAGGAATCTAGGAAAAGTAGAGACCTGGGGAATTTAAGAATCTACAAATTCAGAAATTTAGGAATTTAGGAAGCTAGGAATCTAAGAATTTAGAAATCTAGGGATCTAGGAACTTAGGAATCTAAGAATTTAGCAATCTAGGGATCTAGGAACCTAGGAATCTAAAAATCTAGGGATCTAGGGACCTAGGAATCTAAGAATGTAGAAATCTATGGATCTAGGGACCCAGGAATCTAAGAATTTAGCAATCTAGAGATCTAGGAACCTAGGAATCTAAAAATCCAGGGATCTAAGGATCTAGGGACCTAGTAATCTAAGAATTTAGAAATCTAGGGAATTAGGGACCTAGAAATCTAAAAATCTAGAAATCTAAGAAGACAAAGAATCTACAAATTTGATAATTACTTTAGAAAATTAGGAAATTAAGAAATTTGCAAATTTACCTCTGAAAATTTGCAAATTACAAAAAAAGTTTGCAATAAAATTCCTTTAAAAAATTTGTGAAAATATTTCCCCATACTATTAAAGGTAAATAGCGGGAGAATTTTCCCCTTTTTATCCAAAGGAAGCCTACGTTGCTCCCGAATGTACAGTCTCGAATAAGTCGCTTCGTTTAACCGATATACCATCTTTTCTCCCGGCATCTTGCGCGTATGCCTGACCAGGTAATCCATTAATTATTCTACCTTTTTACCTTCTCGTATCAGCCGGCTCGAATTTTGCCTCTCGTATCTTATACGGGAAACAACAATTTTTACTGTCGAGTCAGACTTTCGCGCACGGTCGAAGGTAACCACCATTTTCTCGATGATAAACGAGTAAGTAACCGATCTATGTTTAACCCGTCAAAATTGTTCGTTCCGCTTTGCTATGTAGTTTATCATCGATTTTCTGTCTGTTTTCTTTCTTTTCTCTCCGTGAAATCTCATGTAAACCTCGGACAAACATTTTTGTATTGACAATTCTTCAGGGTTATTAATATTGTACTAATTTCTGAACGTTGCTGATTACGAAATTATTTGTACCGATTTATCAATACTTTTGTATTTACAGAAAATGAATCTGTAATTAAAATGAATTATTTTGAAATATCAATGTGCATATAAGTTTTGTGCTAAATTCATTGTAAAAGGTCACCTTAATTGTGGGTTAAATACGCTGTATTAACAATATATGTACATTGATCTGAGTCCATTTATGTACGCAATGTCGATGACCTTGAGATGACAATATATAAATCTGAGGTTTCCACAAAGATTTTTATATTATACAAAATATATATATATATATATGTACATACATATATGAGGAGAGGGAGAGAATAGAGAGAGATAACATTTTTTATATAAATTCGTTCTTTGCAAACTACGCTGTTTCGCATAATGATCATATCGATTTTAAAGTACTTACGTTTTTAATGAAACATTAAAATAAATGGAAGCGAGTAGAAAGGGACAAAGAAAAAAGATTTTAATATCATGTACTTTGTTTAATTAAAGAACGAATACGTTCGCGCGTAATAGGTGCAATATATAATAAAATCAAAACTTATTTCCATTTTGATTTTCGCGAGTAGAAACGAAATTACTATTAAGTCGACTCAGGAAAAAGTACGGTTTGAAAAGAATAAAAAAAAAAAATATTTTTGTTACAATCACGTTAACATTAAGCGGTTAAAGATCTTTTTTTTTTATCAACGATCGAACACCGTCCGATCTTACCCGTTGATATAAACGTAACGTAACGACGATTAATGTAATATAATATAAAATCGTAAGTTACAGGGAAACGCGTAACTTCTAACCTTCACTCGAGACTTAGAATTCTCGTTGGTTTAACGAAGAAATCACCTAAGAAGGAATATAAGAAAATCAAAATACACGAATCTACCGATTAGGCGTTAAGACCAAGTAGTTTCTCCTAACGTTCGAACAACGTTAGTTTGTTACGTAGATAGAAAGAATCTCCAGTTTTTAACAAAGATATATCTATATATATATATACATATATATTATATTATTATTATATTTTAATGTTCTATAATTTAAAAATTCTGTTATATAACGTCGTGGTGCAATCTATTTGTAAAATAATAGACTAATTGTTTATCGATTACATATTTTCAATTTGATAAAATTAAGTTTTTAGAAGATAGAGACTGAAAGTGCTCGATAGTAACCAGATTCTGAAACCGATCGTACCTTTGCAGACGGACAATCACGTCGGAAAGAATGCGCGGGTAATCGGGTCATCTGTTGGGTCCAGTCGGAATAAGTCGGGACTCCCCTGAGATAATTAAGACATTTACAAATATACAAATTCAATGTTAAAAAGTTTCTCACATTTATAATTATCAAACTCTACAAATATTCACGTTTGTAAATTTTAAATTCACTTTACTTTCAATTTTTCTAAAACCCTTTACCCGATTGGACCCAATTCCGAATACCCGCACATCCACTTCGAAATTATATTCTAATTATGCAACGTCGTCTATCGTTTACCGTTTATACGCGAAAGTATATGGATCGATTCCATATTGGTTCATATACATATGTTATATTTCGCGTGATTGAAATTTGCCATACGTATGTACGCGCAACGCCAACTATTTTCGCGTTCGCGTATGTTAGCGGTCCGTGCTTGTATTTTCAACAGGCACCTTTCGATTATCTGAACGCGAAGTTTAATACTTTGCGTGGATAGTTTCACGATATAATTGTACCAAGAGTGATCTGAAATCTACTCGAGTTTTTAGTTTAAAGTAGCATTCGTTATATTTTGACATTATATATATATATATAGTATATATAACTCAAAGAAATATATTTTGTAGAAATATGTAGGAATAGGAAAAGTTGAAAATCGAAGGTACTTTTGTCGCGTATTTAGTGCAATAGCGTATTTAGATGTAATTCACACCAGGGATTGAAAGCTGGCACAATAACGGTTCTTAAAATAGTTTTGAATTTATTATCGCGGATAATAATGGCGGCTCTGTAGATAACGGTTCTCCACCGGTTTTCCGTTAAACCCGTGAGCGATCAATTTCGAACAAGATATACCGTCCTATATATTTACTTACACGCCATTCTCGAACTTATTTAAGAATTGAAATTTCATGTAGAAATTCAAAACAGAATCAATTTAGCCTAGTCGTCAGCTTTTAGTTTTCATGTATCATGCAGGATTTTTTTATGGCTGTTCAAAAACGTTCGTTCGAATTTGCTACTCCATGGAATCGCTTTGAAACCGATGTGGTATCGTTTTCGTTTTTAACGATAAGATTCGTCGGTTACCGCCATTTTTTAACAGAAGTAGTTTCGAACGGTTATTTCTATGATCGATCAGGTTTCAATTCCTGGTTAGTACATACTTACCTACACGTATAAGTAACGGCATACGCATATATGTATTCGCATGCATGAATTAATTATAATTAAATTGTACATCGTGTTAAATTATATGTAAATGTTTCGATCTTAAAAATAACAAAAGGATACTCTTTAACGTTACACGATACCGAACATATTATATTTTAACGTTAAATAATTCTCTTTTTTTTATAATAAAAAAAAGTCTCTAAAACGTGTTCTTTTAGTATTAATCACCATTCATTAACAACGCGTTACTTTAATCATAGTTGCGTGAATCATTTTCGCGATGCCATTGTCAAGGATATTAACGAGAATTTAATTGAAAGGGAGCATGTCAATTGCTTTAATAAAACGAATGATCGTCTGGAGATTCGACGATATTAATTTCTTTAACCCACGTGTTTGTTCGGACTCGTTGTCTTCGTACCTTGAAACCAGGGACCAAAAATAATCCTATCTTTTCCTTTTTTAACCTTTTCGATTTACTATCGTGGTACTGGCAATTTAATAATACGTAACGTTGTATATGGACCATAAACATTATTTATATACTTGACAAATAATATATATTTGTTTAAACGTTATTTGAAATAATTGTTAGATTATGTAAAAATTTTTAGCAGAATATTTCAGCAATAATTTTCCTCGACAACTCATTGCCATCGTACAGGTAATTTTTTAATTCTATGTATATAAGCCAGGTTTCCCCATCAGAAAACTGGAACAAATTTGTATAAACACGTACGAATTTATTGACTCAAGTTCATTTAAATAAAATAATTATCCTTTCATGTCAAATTATTTGTTATTTTATTTAAATGACCAGATATAAAATTATCTGAAAGTGGTTAAATTCTACGTAAAATCTTTTCTATGTATTTCTAAAATAAAAATAATAAACAAGTTGTAATAATTTATTATTTCAAATTGCTTTATTTTATTCCAAATAAAATATGCCCACATATGGACAAGCGTAACAAAACGTTAAGGATATCCTTGAAATCTATATCTATGAACTATGTACACGAGCGAGATTAAAAAAATACAATCTATAAATATGTATACAAATTATATTATAAATATTTATAAAGTGTCCGAGTTATGCAACATGTAGCTCGAAAGAAATAAGCGTATTACGATTTCGGTAAGCGATATAAACCACCGGAGAACAATAACTGATGTTCTCGAACTTTTCTATCGAGGAACTGTCTCAATTCCGGTAGTCCACATTCCATTGCACCTGGACCTTGAGAAGCAAACATTTTTAACATTTGATGAATCCTTTCCAAAGGCATCGAGTCTAGATTGGTCAACATGCCAACGATGTAAGACCAAAACACTTGTAACTCTTCTTCCCTCTGATCGCTCGCAGACGCCATTGCGCTCTCGATTTCTTCCTCTTCCACGATATCCGCTAGAGATCGGTTTTTCGTCGAGCTTTCCTCTTGCAACGCGTAAACGTCGTTAGATACTTCTTTCAGAAGACCTTGCGAGACCCAAAAGGTTATTTTTCTTCTTAACACGGTTGCCGGGGCGTGCATCACTTCCGCCAGTTCTTCCAAAGTCCATTCCTCTGCAAAAATTTTATAATAACGTTTACTAACTTAAATATAAATTATAACAAGATTCATGGAAATGTTCCTTACTTTTATCTTGAAAGTGTAAGATGATCGTAGCGTGTATCGGCGTTACGTTTATATTTAATTTTCGATCCTTTAACTCGATTTCTAATGTGACGTTTCCAAGATGGGGTTTCCAACAGAGCGTTCTATTCCCTTTCAAAGTTTCAAACGCTTTCACATATTTATTCAATTGATTCTGTACAATTTTTGGTAGTTCCAGTTTCCAGTTCTCTTTGAAAGGTGGCCAAAATTGTGCCGATAATATTAACGCGGATGTAGGGAACCGTTCTTTCTCTAATATGTAATTCGTGTCCGACTGTATATGACCGTCTATTCTTTTCGAATCGTAGACATCTTTCAACATAACCTCACAATAATGAAGTTGATTTTCCCCGAAGCGTCTTTTCAGTAATTCCAAGTGGCGGATTTCTCGCTCAGTGTGATAATTTAATTGGGATAGTAATCTATCCGCCAACAATGTACGATATTCGTTTACGAACAGATCTTGGCTGCCATATATGTTTACCAACATCGAGATTATATCTGACATTCTGCGCTGCGCTGATTTTGCTGTAAAACCCAATGCGTTACCAAATCATTTAATACGATTAGTGAGATTATATTTTCTTGAACGTACCAGGATCAGCGTCAACGGGATCCGGCATCCACTTATCCCAATCTTCATTCTCTTCATCGCCGGAACCGTCGTCTAGTTGTATAGATTCTCCTTTAACTAATTCATCTGCTAGATCGCTAGGAGAATCATCGAGTAAGTCGCTTACCACGCAGCGTACGGTATCTTCTCTGCTTCTTAAATAAATCCTGCGTAAAAGAAGATAAACAAATATATTTCCTATACGTTTCATAAGTTCCAGATTCTTCTATGTAATCTTAATACTGATTAAATCAATGCAAATGTTGTTACTTATTTCTATTACAAAGCGGTGGAAATATGATTGTAACGTTACTATTACTTAATAGGTTCCGTAATCGTCTCAAGAAGAACTCCCGTTGGATCCAATTGCCTCAACGCCCTTATAGCGGCAATGTAAGCCGTTATGATATCCGGTGTATTTACACCTGGATGCAGTAATCTTGATTTCAGAGCTTCTTGTAAATTTTCTATTAGGAATTTTCTTAAATCAGTTCGTTGCAGGCAAACGCGTAAGTCATCCACCGCAGGTTGAGAATCGGGATACTCTGAACATACAGAAAATTACGTACAATAATGTTAACAGTATAAGTATTAGAAATATTAAAAAAATACCTATTATGATATCGAAGAGTTGTTCAATTCTGAATCTCGTATACGTCTCGTATAAAAAGTGAGACAATTTCTGTTTGAACTTATTTATAGCGTTACGAGTTTGATCATTCAATGATACAATTTTTGAAGAACCACCAGAGTATATCCTGATCAACCAATTCATAACAACCGTTTCAAGCCACTGGAAAGTTCACGTTTTCTCATCAGTTATTTTATATTCAGTAAACAACTTTCGTTGTTCAAATTTATGTTACGTCGTGAAATAAGATATTACATTTTCCAACGATGCTATTTGCGATACGTCAAACGTTTTGTCGCATGATCGATATACGTGATTTTTTATACGTATGTGTATCAACGACGTGAGGACGTTACCAACTATCCTTTCCAATAATTCTAGCTCTATTAACTTTCTGTTAGTTTCATGAAACATGAATACTATCATTTGGCATTGGCATTTTTCTAGTTTTTGTAAACAGCCCATGCATCGAAGAGAATCACCATCAGGATTGGCTACTATAAAATATGTGATGTTAATAATAATGATTATAATAAAGAATACATTATACATCATATAATGCGATTGCTACTGAAAATTGTACATGAAATTTTCAATGTATAAATTTACCATGTGTTGAGTTATCTGCACTACAGAACACATTGAATGAAATCTTATAAAATTGTTCTACAACATGCTCATAGCGCAAAGGCAATTGACTCAGTAGCGTAGATCTGACTATTGCCTTAAACTGATTTAATATATCAGTACCATTCAAGTTTCTAATGCCTTCACTTTGTATCAAATATTCCAGTTTTTTTAATAGTGGCAGAAATTCTGTTAAGCTAACATATAATCCATCCACTGCATTCTTAAAATGTTCAAAACCTTGTTGTCCATCTAAGGTATTTACAAAGTGTTTCCAAAATGTGGGAGCCACATTCTGTCTTATGTATCGTTGTATATGATAAATAACTACGTCCTTGACAAAGTCTGTTAATCCAAGAGACTTTATTTCATTGATTATTTTATTGAATTCTTCATCTGTACATTCATTTTGAATCTGAAGAAAAATAGTATTAGGTTATATTAGGCTATAAGAGTAAAATAAAAGTATCTTGTAGATCTAATAAATCTAGTTATTAAAGCTATAATATGAAGGCAACAGAAAAGCATAGGTATGTGCATGTAAGAGTATTAAATAAAAAAATAATATATCAACAAATACATGTAATCTAACCTGTTCGTATAAAATAGGAAATGCATACTGTATCCGTGGAAAGATATCATTTTCGCTGTCCGGTTTAGCCATATTATTCCAAAGAATCTTTTAAATAATTGCAGTATTTAATTGTTCCAATTATATAAGTATATAATTATAAAATTATAATCACTCGACAAAGTTGACTATACCACTTGTCAAACGTTTAAAAGATTGAAAGATAAATTGCTCATCAAAGGAAACATTTAATAAAAAGAACTTCACGCATAGAAGTTTTCAGTATTTGTTGGTAAATGTTTCATTGAAACATTTTGATACTTGTTATTTTGATACTTGTTCTTACAGAGATAAGTTATACATTTAAAATTTGTGCAATGCAGCTAACTTCAGTAAGTTTCTTTGCCTATTTCTGAATAAGGAGTCGTGTAAGTAAATCTACGCCTATGGCATGGCGGCCATGGAGGCTCCGTCGTTTGACGTTCAAAGAGCAGAAAGGTTAGGTTGGACATAGTTGCTGTCAGCGTAATGTTTCCTTCGCTGATTTCTGCTATTTTGAGGTCAACGTATTCGTACAAATGCTTGAAGAATATCGTCAGGAATATATAGTTTAACGCTTTACAGTGGCCAAGCTGAAATTAAAGGAGAATACCTATCCTCTAAAGTTTACTCTTAGGTCAGTCATTGATGCAACCGATTAATTTTATTCGATCGAACTCGTTAAATTATCATAGTGTTTCTATTCGCGTTATAGCCTAAAGTAGCAACTAAGAAAATATCAGGATATGGTTCAACAATACCAATCACCCGTCAGGGTGTACAAACATCCTTTTCCGCTCGTGATGATGGTATGTTTGCCTTCCTCGAATCAAATTATTTATCGTACCTGGTTTTACTTTGTTTAATTTTATTCGAACGTTCGTGTTGACCGATATAGTTTTTAAAAATTTTATTTCTTATATTATTTTACAGGCATACGAGCGTAGATTTCCAACGTGCTCACAAATCCCTGTTTTAGTTGGTTGCGAGATAGTTTCGGACGAAGAGTGTAAAAATGGTACATTTAGAATAACGGAACGACGATGTAAATTAAACGTCGATGCTCCATATATTTTAAAAAAGGCGTGTACACATTTAATTGATTACTATTTTGAGAATTTGGCAGAAAATATTACACTTACAGTACCAAAAAATAGTTGTACGATTTCAAGTTATTTTGTACTTATTTTCTGTTAAAGTTTTGTTTGTTCAAATAGCTATAAATGTGATTATCTTGTGTTCTCCTTCTCCTTTTATATCGATATGCAAATTTATATAACATATGTATATGAATGGACCCGTATTATTTTTCTTCTTTCTTACAGATAATTGGGGTCGATTATGTATATTTTATTCAGAGGAACATTTTAGATAGAAGGAACAGTGTGCTAGAAATTGAAGCGTACAATGAAAGCTTTTCATCCAGAGTAACAGTCATTGAAAAATGTAGATATTTTGTAAGTACCTGATTTAATTTGTATCTGTATTCTTTCTTCAATGTGACCTCATATGTACATATGTATTCTGCAGATATTAATCATATAAGGAAATACATATTCAGTAATTATACTTACATAACTATGCATTCATTCATAACTGCAAGAAGAGATTATTGTGCAAGATCATTTGATTCATGCATCATACAGAAATACTAAATAAAAATAGTGTACACATAAAGTCTTTAATAAATATATGATACTTATAGGTTCATCCTCAGAATCCAGAGTGGACCTGTTTTGAACAAACTGCAAGTTTAGATATCAGAAACTTTTTTGGCTTTGAAAATTCAATGGAAAAATTAGCGATGAAACAATATGCTCAAAACATAGCAAAGGTACATTTCGAAAAGCGCGGTAGTTTCTTTATCTGTTACCTTATTTCTAAATCATAGAGGTAATATTTTCAATGAAACACACAGGGTAAAGAAATAATTGAATATTTCATAAATAAGTTAAAAGAGGAAGGTATCGTTTATGTATCTCCGTGGAAAGATCCTAATGAAACATCATTTACGAAGGATACAGGGTAAGTTTAAAATTACAAAGTTGAAAAATTAAACGATCGTTTAACCATCGGGTACGTAGATACTGTTTCTTAACAAGAGTATACTAGCCACAGCGATTGTACATTAATTGTATATTATACATTTTTCAATTATTACTTAGAAATGCTGATGAGGAAAGTCAGGAAAATCTGAGCCTAAAAGAGCCTTACACCTATTCAGATTTGCAAAATAAAGGTATGGCATAGATAGCCCATTTAATAAATTAGTAGCTGAACAAATAATTTTTATTTCTCTTTAAACTTGAAACTGTTTTATATTTTAGAAATGCAGTTGTCGTCGGATTACATAGAGAGATACTTGGGAAAGTTAAACATGATACAAGAGAGTAAACTTATACAACTGCGTCAAAGTATGAAAGAATTAAGGGGAAGTTCAGTACCTAGTGACGCGACTCTCTTGCGATTTCTCAGAGCTACAGAATTTTCTGTTGATAAAGCGAAAGAAATGTTAACGCAGGCGTTACATTGGCGGAAGAAACACCAAATCGATAGACTGCTGGAAGAGTACCAAGTTCCGCAAGTGGTAAAAGATTATTTTCCTGGTGGCTGGCATCATTTTGATAAAGGTACATATATTTTTTTATGTTCTTTAGAAATAATTGTATACCTAAGAAGCTGTATACATTAAGATACAACCTCGTTTCTAGATGGTCGACCTTTATATATTTTGAAAATGGGTCAAATGGATGTGAAAGGATTATTAAAATCCATCGGAGAAGATGATTTATTAATGTTGGTAAGGTCTTATAAAATTGTATCAAAGTAACATCTTTAATAAATAATTTGAAAGTATGAAATTCACCATTGTCACTAACACAGGCGTTACACATATGCGAGGAAGGCCTACTCTTAATGGAAGAAGCAACTACCGTTTCTGGTCATCCGGTATCACAATGGACTTTGTTAATAGATCTGGAGGGTCTGAACATGCGTCACTTGTGGAGACCCGGTATAAAGGTACAATTTAGTGCTTTCTAACATCGATTATACCGTAAACCCACATTTCCTCTTTCCTTTATAATTATGATAAATGAATGTTTGCAGGCTTTATTACGAATCATTGAAATCGTCGAAATTAATTACCCAGAAACAATGGGTAGAGTACTTGTTACACGAGCACCCAGATGTTTTCCTATTTTATGGACACTTATTAGCACTTTCATAAGTAAGTATATTAGTTCTTTTATTACAACCAGTGCGATAATAACCATAAAATTTTCCTTCACAGATGAAAACACGAGGAAGAAATTCATGTTTTACTGTGGCACCAGTTATCAAGAGCAAGGCGCTGGAGGTATCGACGAATATATCGACCCTGAATTCATTCCGGACTTTCTTGGAGGATCATCCGAGGTAAAATTAATAATACTTTACTCCATGATAACGTGACTTGTGGCACCATCGAAAGACGCGCGTACTTTTAAGATAACAACTTCTTTTATAGTCTCAAGCCGCGAAGAATAATCCTTGCACCGTTAATTATTTAAGTTAATATTTTATAGTACGTAACCTCGTAAAATTACCTAACCTTATTCTTCGAAATAATATATTTTAACTAATAGGACAGTATGTGCGAGATTTATGGTATGGTACCTCGAAGATTTTATATTTTCGACGCAACTACTAATAACGTAAGAACTTTTATATCTTTATTTTGTACGTTGAAAGGTGTAGTGATACCTTATGTTGTTTTCCGTTTCCATTTGCTTTTGTTTTCTTTTAAGGGTATGCAAGCATTAATCTGAATTGATTTTTGGGATATCCAAGAATAATTCAGACTTAGGCGTATACCTTTAATAATATTTTATTTGTCATTGTCATTTAGCATTTTACAATTTGATAATTGTTTAAATTAAAAACAATGAAAGAACACGAACATACAAAATAACGCACAATATCTGTATGTTAGAACATAGACTAACACAAGTTTCAAAAAGATCTTCTGTAATTCGCAATGTGTGTCACGTTCGCGCATTTATATTTCAAGTAAGTACAAACACAAGTGAGATAATTGGATGTTAAAAAATTCATTGTGACGTCCAAAAAACACCATTCAATTTCTTGTATCAAAAAGATGAAGTCACAGATTGCAAAATGGTAAAAGACCAACTTGTAAAACCATTTTGAGGTATCCTGTATTTTGGTGTTGACAGCAGTAGAGTATATTTTTCTTGTACGATGCCAACCACATGAAATACGTACGCATAGCAATTTTAAGATATACATTACAATGCATGCTTGACAATTCACAGCGATAGAGCCGCCGCTAGGGTTTGCAATAGCAATTGGTAATTTGAAAATGCATAACTTTGTAATTTTCAAGATTTGTAAATTAAAATATTTCTAAAGTCGGTAGCTTGAAGGTTGGGGTCCTCCCCAAATGCAAGGTCCACAGCAAGTGCCCCGTTTGCCCGACGCTAACGGCGGTATTGCATAGTAAATCATTTGATTCGGTCACTTATATTCAATTCTATTCAACTGATAGAAGTTATTCTTTATTAATAGACTTGCACTGCCGATGGAGGAATCGTCCCAAAGCAACTGTACAACTTGGACTTGGAAATTACGTCCACCGAAGAAGGGCACAGTTTATATCACACCATTACCTTGAGCCGTGGACAAATCCATCGTGTGATAATACATTCTAATGACCCAGGAGCAGTTCTAACGTGGGATTTTGACGTGATACGTCATAATATTACGTTCACTGTTCTGTATCAGGCCAGTCCAGATAATAAACCTTCATCCTCAGGTATGGTATTATCAAGCTTTATTAAATATTGTTAATTTATAAAAGAATAAGTAAATGATAAATATATATCTTATCCTATAGATAAGGAACCAGAGGTAACAGAAACGGAAGAAATAAAAGGACCTTTCGTTAAAGTTGAACCCACTATTACTTGTCATGATGGTGAAAGTATCCAGGTGAAAGATTTATTTTATTTCCAATGTATACATAATACTTCATCTACTAAAAATTCCCAAGGTTCTAATCTTGCATTCCATCAATACAGGGTTCTCACATAATGCAACAAGCAGGTACATATGTATTGCAGTGGCATAATCAAGATGATCAGGTAGAATTTCTTCCATCCATCAGTAGTCACAAAGCACAACTCATGTACTTCTACGAAACGTTACCTTCAATCCACTACAGGTATATTGTATACAATAAATGAATCTCTGTACACGACCATAATTATCTACGACCATTATATTTTCCAGAGGATCTATGATGAGCTTGCAATCCGGTATAAGTACAAAGTCAGAAGCGACTTCTTCGTTTTTGTCCAGATGACGCGCAAGTACCGCGTCCTAACGCGTTAATCGATCGTTAAAATTGCTAAGCATAAAGAAATAGAGGAACGTTATTTTTCATAAATGATTGATCAATCAATTAATTTTTGTAGAATATCTTCCACCACAGTAATTTTATACGATTTTAAGTTCTCAAAGGATTATTTTTAAAACTGTACATTTGCAATAAGAGCATCACGTTCGAAGATGTAAGTAGAAAGCACGAAATTTTAATTGTAAAAAATACGTTGAATAAATAAAAACTAACTTTATTAAATAACTGTGTATCATTTTATATTCTCAAGTGGGTTAAGACTGGGGGAAACTGTGGAGTACTGTCATGTTTGGATTCTGGGAATATTTTGCAAATAAGCTGTTTTTTTTTCAAAGGGGGACATCTGGGGTGCAGTTTTTGGTGACGGAAACGAAATAATTGGTATATCATAGTAAATTAAGTTAGTAAAGTTAGTAATAATTGAATATTTAGGGAAATTAAATTTTTGGAACTAGTGGCGCCATCTCTCCGGCGAACGGGGTGAACTACACACTTTTGAAACTCTATTTTAATTAGTTCTATTTGTTACCGCTAGGTGGCGAATATAGTGGCGCCATCTCTTCGGCGAACAGGGTGAACTACACACTTTTGAAACTCTACTTAAATTAGTTCCATTTTCTACTGCTAGGTGGCGTATGCAGTGGCGCCATCTCTCCGGCGAACGGGGTGAACTACACACTTTTGAAACACTACCTTAATTAGTTCCATTTTCTATCGCTAGACGGCGACACAGTGCATCTCGCAGCGCCGTCTAGCGGCAGAAAATGGAACTAATCAAGGTGGTGTTTCAAAAGTGTGTAGTTCACCCCGTTCGCCGGAGAGATGGCGCCACTAGTTCAAAAAATTTATTTTCCTTAAAAACTCAATTAATATTGATTAATATACTATATATTTATTATGTATTCATTCTTATTGACTTTATACTGCTTCTAATATATTCCATGAGTTCAAATATTTGGATTATATGTTCAGTTCGTTTCCCATACTATACACCTTGTCGATCATACAGAAAATGACACAAAGATAAAAAATTTCCTTTCAATTAACCAAAAACCATTCTCTTCCTTAAGAAGAAATCTTCTTCCGTAAAAAAAGAACTTATTTGCAAAATTTTTTTGAATATCGAAGCAAGATGGTTGTCCATAAAAATTAATAGAAATTAGACGATGCTCCATAATTAATCAAATAATTAAAATTTCACAGGAATAAAATGTTGAAGAGAAAATCGTTCTCCAATTAAGTGCCTTGTTCTTGCAACATAAATCTGTTTATACGATTTATAATGTATGGTAATCCTTTCCCTCTACAGTATCTGTTTATTCAAATTATACTGATACATCATTCGTATTGTTGCCATAGGCGTCCGGATTAATTTCGTGATCAATATTTATTTATGTCCAATCGTGTATTGTATTGATTTAAATTTCTGTTTGATGATCTTCCTTTTGCTGATGCGATCAGCTGTTATTTACCGAGGATCAGATGCATTTCATTATTTGTCTCGTGACGCGTTATCCATAAATCTAACGATTACTTTTGTAAATTCATGTCAGATATGTTATCGCTATGGTCAGTCTTTCTGCAACGCTTGCCGGGGACAAATAAACGAGCGCCGTTCGAATTGCCAATAAGCATTTCTAGCTCTCTTCAAGCATTTCTTGATACACTTATTAGTCCCCAAAGTTAGTTAATTTATTAAACAAATTTTTAAGGAATTTATTTATAAATGTTTGACTAGTTTATTTGTGATTAAGTCTTTTCAGTTAAATTGCCTCAGATGTTCAAATCTCTTACATCTACTGACTTTGAACTCTCCTATCTTGCAGTGACAATTGTGCTACAGTGATTTGATCAAATTGATGTGAATTCAACTCTGTTCCACAAGTTATCAGTGCATCCTGATGTGATCAGCACAAACTCTCGTTATGTCAATCACCGTGGTCACTGCCCATCATCCTTTTAGTCTCACACGCTTGATTAAAAGCCTACACAAACCAGACAAAGTATGGCTCACAAGTAAACTTCAAGACCTATACATCTCTATCTGGACAAAACTTCAAATAAACCTCTATGAATATACGTCTCTAAATAAACGTCAACTACTTATAAACATTCAAGGCCACAATTCAAAAGCATTTGTGATGCAAAACTCACCTAAGTGGTCTTTTTCTAAGAAGCAGTTCAGCAAGGGCTTAAGAGCTTGTTCATCAGTAGAGTTTATACGTGCGCTATGTACTTCTACATACGATACATCAACATATTCTCAGTCTCGTGTGAAGACGCATCTTCAAGGATTTATGGTGCTGAAAAATTTCTCCTCTGTTAGATCATATGTTCTACAAGATATAATTCAGCAATGTCGAATATGTCAGAAGCATTATAAAAACGCAGCATCGACGATCAAATCACATAATGAAGTTACTCAAAGTTGGAATCCTATGCAAGCCTTAGGTGCATCAACTTGTCCACATATTATAAGATGTAGTTACTCAAACTCTCTACAAGCCATGTGTACATCAACTCCTTCAAATGTTACTAAATACAGTTTCTTAAATCCTGTGCAAGGCTTCTGTACATTAACTTGTCCACATATTATAAGATGTAGTTACTCAAACTCTCTACAAGTCATGTGTACATCAACTCCTTCAAATGTTACTAAATACAGTTGCTTAAATCTTGTGCAAGCCGTCTGTACATCAACTCAGCCAAATATTAGAAGAGACAGCACCTCAAACTCTGTACAAGCCATGTGTACATCAACTCCTTCAAATGTTACTAAATACAGTTGCTTAAATCTTGTGCAAGCCGTCTGTACATCAACTCAGCCAAATATTAGAAGAGACAGCACCTCAAACTCTGTACAAGCCATGTGTACATCAACTCCTTCAAATGTTACTAAATACAGTTGCTTAAATCTTGTGCAAGTCTTCTGCACATCAACTCATCCAACTATTAAAAAACGCAGTTCCTCAAACTCTGTGGAAGTTCTCTATATATCAAGTCCTTCAAATATTTATAAAGAAAGTTGCTTAACTCCTGTACAAGCCTTCTGTACATCAACTCATCCAACTATTAAAAAACGCAGTTCCTCAAACTCTGTGCAAGTTCTCTATATATCAAGTCCTTCAAATATTTATAAAGACAGTTGTTTAAGTCCTGTACAAGTCTTCTGTACATCAACGCCAAACATCCCAAAACGCACTCCAGTGCTCCTCGCCACCGCCTCCATCCTCGTCGTCTCCCAAAATGGCGACCGTTTCCCAGCCCGTGCGCTCTTGGACCAAGGCTCAGAAGTATCCTTCATAACCGAGTCCCTAGCAGAAAAGCTAGAACTCACTTGTCGATTCTCCGCCGTTCCCATAATCGGCGTAGGAGCTCAAAGATCGAACATAGCACACAGAGCCACGACATTTCAACTGATCTCCCGAATCGACGAATCCTTCAAATGCCACGTTGACGCTCTCATGTTGCCGGAACTCACAACGTGTTTGCCAGCTGCTCGCATCGTTCACACGCAGTGGTCGCATCTGGAAGGACTGCACCTCGCTGATCCTGATTTTGCGAAGCCAGATAAGATTGATATTATACTGGGGGCTCATGTGTACTCGCAGATCATTCGGGAAGGTCTTCGGAGGGGAGATGTGGGTGCACCTATTGCGCAGCAGACTTGTCTTGGTTGGGTGCTGTCGGGTGCTATTAATGTTGACGTGGATTCGGAGTGCGTTAGGGAACCTTCTGTGAATTGACGAGGTTTGTTGCTGACAAGGTTTGTGTTTTTAATAAACATTTGTAGTGAGAATATTGTAGTAACTGGACTGTGTTTGTGGATTTATGATTGAATACTGATAGATGTGAATAGATAGTGTGATGCTTGAGATGTATATATGGACATATGGATGGACTTTCCAACTGTGGACTGAGGGTTGCATTTGATTGTAAAAAAAGATTCGAAGAGTTTTGTATGTGAGAGATGTTAATTTTATGTAATTGTATCATTTGTGATATTTAGATAGAGTATGTTTTTTACTGTAATATGAAGATAGTATGATAAAGATACTTTTTACTATGAATTTTAAGGACTGTTGATGGATCTCTGCATTTGACATGTTCTGGTATTCTAATATCCTAAAATACTTAAACATCCAAATTTCTAAGTTCTCAAGTACTTACTTACACTTTCAAATTCAAATGTCTGTAAACCCCTATGTGACCAAATTCCAACGTCCTCTGTTCTCCACGTACCACAAATTCCTACATCCCCAAATTCCTACGTCCACAAATCTCTACGTCCCCAAATTCCAACGTCTCCAAATCCCTACGTCCCTAAGTTGCTACGTCCCCAAATTTCTAGGTTCACAAATCTCTACGTCCCCAAATTCCAACGTCTCCAAATCCCTACGTCCCCAAGTTGCTACGTCCCCAAATTCCAACGTCCCCAAATCCCTACGTCCCCAAATCCCCACGTCCCCAAGTTGCTACGTCCCCAAATTCCTTTGTCCATAAATCTCTACGTCCCCAAATTCCAACGTCCCCAAATCCCTACGTCCCCAAATCCCCACGTCCCCAAATCTTCACGTCCCCAAATCGCCACGTCCCCAAATCGCCACGACCCAAATCACCACGTCCCCAAATCGCCACGTCACCAAACTCTCACGTCCTCAAATCCCCACGTCCCCAAATCGCCACATCCCCAAACTCCCACGTCCCCAAACTCCCACGTCCCCAAATCCTTAAATCCCCAAATTCCCAAATTCCAAAATTCCCAAAATCCCAAAATGCCAAATCCCCAAAATCCCAAAATCCCAAATTCCCAAATTCCCAAATTCCCAAATTCCCAAATTCCCAAATTCCCAAATTCCCAAATTCCCAAATTCCCAAAATCCCAAAATCCCAAATTCCCAAATTCCCAAATTCCCAAATTCCTACGTCCCCAAATTCTTACGTCTCTAAATTCCTACGCCCCCAAATTTCCACGCCCCTGAATCTCCACATTCCCAAATCTCTACATCCCCAAATTCCTCCATTTCCAAATCCCTATTATCCCAAAACCCTACACCCTCAAATCCCTACATCTCCAAATCTCCTAAACCTCCAATCCCCCTAAAATATCCCAACATCCACTCAAATACCCACAATCCCCCAATTTATAATCCATCCCCTCATCCCGAAATATCCAAAAATCCTTAAAATGCAATAAGTCTCGAATTACAATAAATCTCCATCTT